GGCTTCAAACACCTTTTATTGTACAGCAATAAAGGAATGGAACAGACTGCCCGCACATGTCAAAGCCAGTCATAGCATGAACCAGTTCAAGAAGAGTGCCAAAAGGTGTCTGATGAATGTAGCTACAGAAAGGGAGGGGAATGATTTTCTATTTTTTAGCTAACATACGTGTAAATTTACCTTATTCCTAGTAATGACCCTCGTATTGTAGATAGTCTTAATGACCTTGGTGTAGTAAATAGTCTTTTTAGTATGATAATAAGATGTTATCTTCATTGTAGAATAATAAGAAAATATTATAAGCTTTATATTATAATAATAAGGTAAAAGGACCCCAATGGAAATAAGTCACTCTGTCTGACTTTTTTGGGTTATCCTAGGTTCTCTACACATATGCTGCTATGTATGATAATTCTATGTAACTGTATTTGTGTATACCTGAATAAACTTACTTACTTACTTACTAAGCCACTTGTGAGGCTGAGGTACCCACCTCAGAGTTCGGTGTCAACAGAGTTTGCCAGGGTAGGCGACTCACTTGGAGGCAGTCCACACAAATTTTCACAAAAGACTTGTGATCCGTTTCTAAAATGAATTCTTTTCCCAGTAGATAAAATTTACGCTTGGAGATACCCCACACAAGGGCCAAACATACCTTTTCTATGGTGGAGTATCTCGTTTCTACAGGAGGGAAGTTTTAGATTTAATAAATATACAGGATCTAGGAGTGTGTGTATTTTGTGCAGTAAGCACCTGACATCTATTGCAAGAACTATACTTCTTTGTAACCTGAGAGTTCATGCCTAGCCAAAAATAAGTGTGCTTCAGCTTATGCCATGTCTTACAATGGGCCAAGTGTCTGGTCACTGGCAAATCATGAGCCATTTGAAGAACAGTCTCTCGACATGGTTTAGGAACAACAAGGAGGGAATAATCTATCACTGAAGAATGAGATTTAAATACAGATTTATGTAAGATACCATTAATATATTCAAACTTATGAGATACGTTTCTCCCATGGATAACTTTGTTGTTAAAAGCTTGATTATGACAATCCCGAAGTGAAGGGCAATTGCGCTGTATATTGACAAAGTCATCCTTGGACATAAAATCTGGGAAAATAAAAGGACTCACGGTGGGAGAAGAGGAGGTAGGAGAAACCGGGTTATGGTCTGAGCCCTAGTCAAGACATTGAGAGTGCCGGAGGCAATACCCTTACTTTCACCTGACGAGTGGACAGGTGATCCTGCTACCTCACTATCGAGAGCAGTATCATCTGTTTCCACCCCCAAATGAACAGTACGAGACAATGCAGCTTCCGGTGTGGAATTGTTAAGGGGATTATTTAACTTGCAAGGAGGAAGAGCTGGAAAACTTAGATCCACGGGTGGTGACGAAAGATCTGCCTCTGAAGAAAGAACGGCACCTTTAATGTTACCCACTATTACAGAACAAGTAATTGGGGCTAGTACCGCATTAGTCCAACTGGTGAACCATTTAGTTTTCAAGTAACAACGTATTGTAGGGAAAGTATTTTCACGACCCAAGTAATCTGAAAGAATAGAGGACACACGAGAGGTTTTAAAGTAAGGGAACAGTTTGTCCGAAATTACAACGCACGTACATCCAGTGTCACGTAATATATCTGAGACTTTTATACCATTAACTGCTCCTGAACAGAAGGGTGCTTGGTCATTACCATCAACTAAACATCTTCCAACTTTCTCTATTTTCTTGGAAGGACAATCTGGACGTTTATATCCGATACGACCACACTGATGACATGTTGGTATAATAGCTGGTGACTTTGTTTCTACTGTAGGCTTCTTAATCTTTGGTTCAGGTGAGCCATTGCCCTTAGGGTTCGATCCCTTTAGGTCTTTATAGGAATTGTGAGCCTCAGCATACAGGTCAGCGGCCTCAGCAACTCCCTCAGCTTTAATCAGGTTACATTCTCTAATGAATGTTCGTATCTGGTGAGGAAGAGCTGTCAGGAACTGGTCAGCAACCATGAAGTCTCTAAGAGATTCATAACTGTGGTCAATTCCTGAACTCTCTATCCAAAAGTCGAACAAACGAAAGAGTGTTACCTGTAACTGCTGAAAGTTTTGGTCATGCTGTAAGGTGGCATACCTGAAATCTTTCCTGTAAGAATTAGTGGTTTTTTGATATGCTTTAAGGATCGCCTTCTTCAGTAGGTTATAATTACATACGATATCCTGCGACAAAGTTGCATAGATATTCAAAGCTGTACCAGAAAATAACATTCCTAACCTGGTAGCCCAGGTGTCAGCAGGCCATTCACAGAGGGTAGTGGTATTTTCAAACCTGATAATGTATGAAGTAATGTCTTCACCCTTTGTGAAGGGAGGTAAATTAGGCATTGGAATATGTGTACTAGCTGCATGTTGTTCCATTACTCCTTCCTCTAATTGCTTTTGTGAGCAAGTTAACTTTTTATTCTCTAATTCAAGGCAAGCTTTTTCGAGCTCGTGATCCTTTTCTCTCTCTCTCATGTACTCTAGCTCTTTCCTCACGTTCTCTAGCTCTTTCCTCACGATCAAGTTTGTCACGCTCTTTTTTGTCTTCTTGCTCTCTTTCTAACTGTCTTGGCTTTCTCTTTCAATTCTCTCTCTCTCCTTTTTCTCCTGTCTTTCAAGGTTCTCTTTCTCCTTTTTTTCTTTTTCCTGGATCTTAGCACTAATGAAAGCTTCTAAATTTTTCCCTGTTATTCCTAACTTCCAGCATTCATCCAAAACTGATATTCCTCCATACTTGCAAGAATAACTTAAACTATCAGGGGAAAATGAAACTGGTATTAAAGAAAATGGAGGGTTCAATTCCTGCTCTGCTCAAACTGCAAATAAACCAGAGGGCTTGATCCCTGCTTCAATTAAACAAATGTATTAATGAAAAGGAAGGGTTCTATGCTGCCTCTGAGCAAACAGTAAGTAGAATGGGGTCCCTTGACCATCCAATCTTCTCACCAATAAATCAAGAGTGTCCTACGACAGCTCCCTTGATATAATAAAGAGCTCAATGAAACAATTTGTCACTGGAAAATCTCGGGTCCCTAGAGTCTAATCCTCCAAAGTGTTTCAAGCTCGAAAGAAGGTGGCAGAATTAACTATTATATCCTGCCTGACTCGACTTACAATAAATTGAGACTATAACAATCACCAAATCTCTTAAATACCTGTACCGTAGTCCTACCATAGAGAATGATTACTCATGGCTGGTGGTAACCGTCTGTTGTATGCGGCATTGAAGTTCCAATGGTAGATTCGAGATGGAGTTGAATCTTGATTCAGTCGAGTCGTATCCTGGCAAGGTCGCCACTTGTGAAGGCTTACTCAGCCCTGTAACAGCTTCACTCAGTATTACTAAGGCTGGCTCCTCCTCAGGAAAATTAATGCATAGAAAAAGAACAAAAACTGACAAATATAAACACTTTATTATTTAGAAAATATAAAATATAAAACACTTAAATATGAAATATTGATCCTACATTAAAGAAAATGAAAAAGGAAAAATATAAATGATATCTGAATTCAACGCTAATATATATAAAACTTGGGTGTCTGGTGTTGGTGACACTGCGTGTTGTTGAAATCGTAGCCATTGCTGATGATGTGGGGAGGGGGGCCCCAGGGGTGTTGGTGACAACTCACCAGCTCATTCTTCACAGAGTCTATTGCCGTGAAATAATCTATCCAGATGGCAGGAAAGCAGGTTCTTTACCGCTGCAATGATGAGGAGTTACGTCCTGCAACTTCATACGTGTGCACAGGTAAGTAGATAAAACATGGGACATCTCAGGATGTTAGTCTGTCTCCTTCAATTCTACTCGTTGGTTGGCAGGTGACCCATTCTGTCATTCCAAGCTGGAAAGAGAGACAGGTTACCCACTACTTAAGAAATCACTCTCCATGATAAGTACAATACCTAAAAGACATGGTGATTATTAAGACATTTAACATAGAGCAAGACTGAAAGGACTAAGTTTAAAATTGGTCAAAAGTGAAGCTTTCAACCAATAAGTCCACTAGAACATGAGCAGGCATGTACTTGCAGTAGTACTGGGAGCTGTGAGTCGAGTGATTACTGTTTGGCCGGAGCCCCACACATCACCTTTCGGGGGGGGGGGAAAGAGGGAGGGGAAGGGATAGCGGGAGCTAGACTGACCCTACCTTAACAAGTAGCCGGCAATGAAACTATTGTTACTATATACTCCCTCGCTACTCCTATCTATTGAACTTTTCCCTCACAACCAGCAATCTGGGATAGTAACCTCACATCTGCCGAACTACCTCGATGGACAAAAGAGAGGGCGGCTGGGTATCCGCCACAAAGCATACCTCCTTTGACCATCACCGCGGGAATCTGAAAGGTGGCTTCCAGAGATACACCCGTCACCCAAAAGACACCCAAAGCCACCCTCCAAGATACCGGAGAGGGATCGGGACATCCCCAGGCGATCCAGATTCCAAGTCAAACTACGCCACCGCCAAGAACCTCAACAGAATGGGATGGACCCCGGTACCCTTTCCCCCACCTAGGAACTAGCATGCCTGTGGGAAAAATCCCAAAGGCCAAAAAGAAGAAGGGCAAAAGGGAGGGGTAGGGAGGAGGAGGAGGATGGGATAGGGAAGGGGGGAGTTGGGGTTAATTAGGTTTGGTCTGAGGAAGGAGACCAGACAGGTCTAATTCCTCAGACCAAGAGCCTCTTCACGCCAAGCAGCCCCCCTTGAAGAGGATTCAAATTTAATTTTTTTTTTTAATTATGTTTTGCATAATTTTTCTAAGATTGATTGTTCTCATCTGTAATAATTTTTTCTATTTTCTTTTCATAAGAAGGAAGTATCTTTTTAAATACACTTTGAGGGCCTGAAAGAGCAGCTGTAACTTCACATTTTCTAACACAAACTCTCTAAGATAAAGTGATAGGTGCCCTCAGAGGCCTAAGGATCAGGCATAGGATAAAATTTAGCAACACTAGGAAGAATCATCAGTTTTATTGTACATCAAATACAACTACAATTAAAGAATTATCCATAGTGGCATTATAAATGTATTAATGGTGGGAGAAGCAAGAAGATAACAGAATGATCATTTTTGAAAAATACAATGGTTGACAGAGGAGATAATTTCCAGTCTATGGACCCACACCATGGCCACAGACGGCTCTTAGCAGAGCCATCTGTGACCGTGGCCTCGGCTTACCAAAATTATTTAGAACCATGGTTAGTATATTGTGGGAAGACTGTCCGTGGTGATAGTCTGTGGTGATAGTCTGTGGTGATAGTCCATGGTGATAGTCCGTGGTGATAGTCCGTGGTGATAGTCCATGGTGACAGTCCATGGTGACGGTCCATGAGTGACAGCCCATGGTGACATTCTGTGGGTGAAAGTCTGTCGATGGATCTTAAATACTTGCAAAAATTGCTGTTGAAATTCTTATGTACACATACCCATGGTTTAGGCGGTGGTCCAAAAATTACAGTCAACATTACAGTGTAACATAGTAATACAGTGTCATAATGGGTCCAGGAACTCTACCTTAACATTTCAGACTCACATAATTGGTCCAGGGTCTTAGCCGCAAGGTTCTGATAGTTTAAAAAGTTAAAAGTAATGATTATGCTGTCAATCACTGGCCTGGTGGATAAAGCTCTGGCTTCACGGCGAGGGTGTGGGTTTGATTCCCAGTGAGAGTTGGGCATTTCTTTACACTAGTTGTTTATGTTCCCCATCAGTAAAATGGGTTCTCGGGTTTTGAACTAGTGTGGGTCATATCCTGGGACCCCAGAAGAGACACAGAAGGATTGGGAGGCTGGAGGACCATCGAGGTTGGAGACCTTCAGGCTATCTGAGCATATGGGACACATAAGAACATAAGAAAAGAGAAACACTGCAGGAGGCCTGCTGGCCCATACTAGGCAGGTCCTTTACAATTCATCCCACTAACAAAACATTTGCCCAACCCACAAGGGAGTTTACTTTGAAGGTGGAGCTGAGAAACAGCCATAGTGTAAAGTCCTGACACTCAAGATAACGGATTCTTTGTTCATTACGATAAAACCTGACAATGGTGTGAAAAGGAAGGATGAGGTTCCTTGCAATTGAGACAAGAGGAAGAAAAGATCATTGGAATGATCTGCTGCACTGAAAACTGGGCATTCCACCACAGTCTGCATGTGTTCAGCAGGGTGTCCAAATGACCGCAATTACTAACTGTTGGGGACTGGGAACCACTTGACGACCTCTAGGTGATGTCCTGCAAATATAGACAGAGGACGGAGGTTCACAGCGGTCAAAAGTTAAAGAGCATTGTTACTAGGAAAGCGCCTTGCCCAAAAGCAGGCAGGATGCCTTACCTTAGAGAACAGGGAGGTTCTGAAGGGCTAATTGTTCTAAAATATCATTGCTGCAAGACAAAAAAAATCACTCTGTACAATGGTACGTGGTAAGACTACAGTACCACTGCAAGAATTAAGAGTACAGTGCTTATGAATGGTGACTGTTATGTTATCTATGGAAGTGATGCGAGAGAGAGTATGGGCTTGCTCTGAATTCTGTACTGTTACAACACACCCACCACTTCGTAAAAGAGTTTTACCACTTCTGTGATCAGAAAGATAATTGGTTTGAGATGGATCTATAATTTCCTCAAAAACAGAACACAAAGAGTAGTAGTCAACAGAGTAAAGTTCGAGGCAGCTATGGCGAAAAGCTCTGTTCCACAAGGCACAGTACTCGCTCCCATCTTCTTTCTCATCCTCATATCTGACATAGACAAGGATGTCAGCCACAGCACCGTATCTTCCTTTGCAGATGACACCCGAATCTGCATGACAGTGTCTTCCATTGCAAACACTGCAAGGCTCCAGGCGGACATCAACCAAATCTTTCAGTGGGCTGCAGAAAACAATATGAAGTTCAATGATGAGAAATTTCAATTACTCAGATATGGTAAACACGAGGAAATTAAATCTTCATCAGAGTACAAAACAAATTCTGGCCACAAAATAGAGCAAAACACCAATGTCAAAGACCTGGGAGAGATCATGTCGGAGGATCTCACCTTCAAGGACCATAACATTGTACATCACAGCTGCTAGAAAAATGACAGGATGGATAATGAGAACCTTTAAAACTAGGGATGCCAAGCCCATGATGACACTCTTCAGGTCACTTGTTCTATCTAGGCTGGAATATTGCTGCACACTAACAGCACCTTTCAGGCAGGTGAAATTGCTGACCTAGAAAATGTACAACCTTCCGGTGCATAACAGAGATAAAACACCTCAATTACTGGGAGCGCTTGAAGTTCCTGAACCTGTATTCCCTGGAAGCAGGTGGGAGAGATACATGATTATATACACTTAAAATCCTAGAGGGACTAGTACGAACTTGCACTCGAAAATCACTCACAACGAAAGCAAAAGACTTGGCAGACGATGCAACATCCCCCCAATGAAAAGCAGGGGTGTCACTAGCACGTTAAGAGACCATACAATAAGTGTCAGGGGCCCGAGACTGTTCAACTGCCTCCCAGCATACATAAGGGGGATTACCAATAGACCCCTGGCAGTCTTCAAGCTGGCACTGGACAAGCACCTAAATTCGGTACTGACCATTGGCTGTGGCTCGTACATTGGTTTGCATGCAGCCAGCAGTAACAGCCTGGTTGATCAGGCTGATCCACCAGGAGGCCTGGTCACAGACAGGCCACAGGGGCGTTGACCCCCAGAACTCTCTCCAGGTAAAGAAAAGAATTTTCTCCAATGTGTACTCGTTAGCTCGATACACAAAGGTAGTGTCATGTAGGTCATTTCTGAGTTATCATCGACAAACTGTCGTCAGTAGGTTGTCTTGGATGTTTAGTAGTTCCACGGGTGATATGACCTGAGGGAAGTGGGTGATCTGAAAACCTTCACACTGTATTTGGGAAAGCTGGAAGCATTATGAAAAGTGTGAGAGAAGCAGCGGCATGAACAGAAATGGGTGAAAGCCACAGCACCTGAAGCAGGTGACAAAGCCTCACCAGCAGAAGTACAGAGGTTGAGAAGAGTCGAGATAATGGACCAATAAGAAAGACCAGGTCAGAACGGGTTGGGATCAGGAAGGAGAAAGGGTTTCACTGGACGAAGACTCTATAATTAAGGAACCTTCTGTGAATCTGCTTTCTGTTATTTTAAGAAAAAAAAGGGAAAGAAAGTAAAAGGGGACAGCAGAGGGACAATGCTAGGAGGCATGGAGAGGCCAAAAGTTCTCTCCACATCTGAGAGGGCCTTGGTGGTGAAGATGTAGCATGGAACCTGTGCCATACACCTACCCTTCAAGACAGTAAACCAGCGCCAAGGGATAGCAGCCAACATGTACCAAGCTACCTCGGCAGCATAATGGAAAGGGCAGTCGGAAACAGCCACAAAGCATACCACTTCAGCCACCACATTCAGAACCGTACAGGAGCTTAGGAATACAGACATTACCACGGAAGGGCACTTTGCTTTCCGGAATGGTAAGGGACATGGGCAACTCTTCAGAACATTACGGACATGGTAACCACCCAACTTCTACAGGACCAATGAGTGGGAACAACTCTTGAACATTGTACATGAATGTGACCTACTTCAGAGCTGACAAAATGAGACACTATCTTAGAACTGTACAGTGAAATGGATCTACTTAAATGACAGAGATGAGGAAGCATGTACAGTGACAATGTGGACACTACTCATCAGAACATTGACAGTGAAATGTGGACACTATCTTCAGAACATTGTACAGTGACAATGTGACACTATCTTCAGAACATTGTACAGTGACAATGTGGGACACACCTCAGAACATTGTACAGTGACAATGTGGACACTATCTTCAGAACATTGTACAGTGACAATGTGGACACTATCTCTTCAGGCATTGTACAGTGACAATGTGGACACTACTCTTCAGAACATTGTACAGTGACAATGTGGACACTACTCTTCAGAACATTGTACAGTGACAATGTGGACACTACTCTTCAGAACATTGTACAGTGACAATGTGGACACTACTCTTCAGAACATTGTACAGTGACAATGTGGACACTACTCTTCAGAACATTGTACAGTGACAATGTGGACACTACTCTTCAGAACATTGTACAGTGACAATGTGGACACTACTCTTCAGAACATTGTACAGTGACAATGTGGACACTACTCTTCAGAACATTGAACACTTTATCCAACATGGCATAGGAGTGCCTTGCTGATACTATTACCTGGAGTTTACTTGGAGAGGGTTTCAGGGGTCAACATCCCTGCGGCTCATTCTGAGACCAGGCCTCATGGTGGATCAGGGTCTGATCAACCAAGCTGTTACTTCCAGCTGCACACAGACTGATGAATGAACCACAGCCCGGTTGGTCAGGTACTGACTTCAGGTTCCTGTCTAGTGCCTTCTTGAAGCCTGCCAAGGGTCTATTGGTAATCCCCTTTATGTATGATGAGAGGCCTAAAATTTCTCCAAAAAGGATGTTTTTGTTAATGTTTCTGTAATTTTCTATGTAATACGTTTCCACTACCTTCTCTCTTTCAAGCACAACCAAAAAAAAAAAAAAAAAAAAAAAAAATCCCATTCACTGTCCAGACTCCTGCTCACAAATTTACTCAAAGTGTCAAAGAATTTAAAGGAAAATATTTTTTTTCTTATGAAATGATAGAGAATCTTTTCCTAATGGTAATGAAACCAAAAGTATGAAATTTGATGGAAAACTTACAGATTTACGTTCTCACAAAGTTAGCAGTCTGGCGATATTTGTGGATCGTCAAATTGCCCACTTTGAGCACTATTTTTGGCCAATTCCACTGTTCCAGTCAACCAAACAAATAGCTATTTTGCTAGAACTCCTTTTCTTCTATTGACCGAGTTCAAGAAACTGCCCATTTACCAATTTCAACTTCCCAATAAAATTATCAAAAGTGTCAAAATTAACAAAATTCAAAATTCAAGAACATTTCAACGGTAATAAACAAAAGTATAAATTTTTGCCATGCACTGAATATACACTGTTTTCTTACACAAAATAGAGTCTGCTTATTGTCACTAGCATATTTATGGCAATATACAGTCCATGTGAAACCAACAAATACAGTTTTGTATGAGGACTATTTGATTCTATTGTAAAATTAGCAAAAATCACCATTTACCAACTTATCAACTTCAAAGTAATTTATTACAAAATTGTCGAATTTGCAATTTATTTAAATAATTCCAAAATTCAAGGACCAATTTCAAACACATCGAGTCCAATAAGATTTAACGCAAAAATTTCCAACACATAAAATGCCTTTTTCGTGCTCATTAGTCCACATGTGCTCCAGACCATTTTACAACACTGTGTTGGTTCAAACAAGCAACAATAGGGAATTTCACATTTACGCAGATTTTATTGCTTAATCAGATAAAAATGGCCATTATAAGTTTAGTGCATCCTGTGGTAGAAAAGGTCAAACTCACCAGTTGGAATTGAATAATTGGATTAGTGAGTGATTTGTGAATTGTTGTAACTGCAAATATATCAAAACACCTCTACTCGTACTCAATTTCAAAGTACTTTTAGTTCACAAACCATTCAAAATCAATTCAATTTTTGTAGTATATCTTCCAAGTTTAGTACAGTGGACCCCTGCCTTACGAACACATCGTGTTACGTTAAAACCACCATATGAAGCATTTGAACGCAAAAATTTTGCCTAACTCACGATAAAAAACTCGCCTTAGGTGATTCGTTCGGGACACGTCCCACATGTGGCCTCAGCACCAGTGTTTACAAGCCAGCCAGTGTGGTCACATCTATGCATACATTCGGTACATTTCACATTATCCCAGTGTTTTTAGTGCTTGTAACTGCAAAATACGTCACAATGGACCCCAAGAAAGCTTCTAGTGCCATCCCTGTGGTAAAAAGGGCGAGAATTAGTATGGAATTGAAAAAAGAGATTAAGGAAATGTGTGTGCAGAGTGGGTTGAACTGCAAACCTTTATGGATGAAAATCACCCTGACACAGATCCTGCAAGCCGTGTTGGCAACCAGTACAATGACAATGTTATGGCCCTTTGTAGGAAACTCTTAAAGGAATGGGAGGTACAGAGCTCTATGGACAGATTTGTTGTGTGACTGAGGTCCAGTGACTCTCAAGCTGGTTCTAGTGGCATTAAAAGAAGAAGGGAAGTAACCCCAGGAAAAGGACTTGCTACCTCAAGTCCTAATGGAAGAGAATTCCCTTCTAAACAATAAAACAATAACTTCCACACACTCCCCTTCTCCCATCCCATCAATCATCATCAGATCTTCAATAAAGGTAAGTGTCATGTATTCTATTCTTTAGTAGAGTAGTAATTGTGCATGTCTTCTTCAGTTTGTGTGTATTAAAATTAATATTTCATGTGGTAAATTTTTTTTTTGTACTTTGGGGTGTCAGGAACGGATTAATTTGATTTCCATTATTTTGTTATGGGGAAAATTAATTCGGCTAATGATAATTTCGGCTTACGATGAGCTCTCAGGAACAGATTAATATTGTAAAGTGGGGGTCCACTGTATATCTTCAAATGAGACAAAGAAAATGAGAATACAACCATAAATAAATAAACTTTGTTTAAATTAGCAACATCGCTGATTTAAACCAAAAAACATTTTTTTTTCTCATTATGCACCGCATGCTGAAGGATTTTTTTTATACTGCACACACTGACCACTCAGATGCATTCTCTCATATGTAGGCCTACCAGCTTTCTTCTGCAAGATTGGAAGCTGCTAGAATTTTCGTGTAGTATTACAGGACCGACACTGGCTTGAAAGCCATAATATTACGGGACCAACAGTGGAAGGAATAATATTAATATGGGTAGAGGAAGAAATATATTAGAGCATGACACATAACACCTCTTCTGAAAAAGCTTTCTCTTTAGTATGACATCTCATACTGAGCAATGATTAGGATTATCACCAGAATGAGTTCTTATGTGGTTTTCTAAATAACTTTTGCGGGAAAAGTCTTTCAGACATTCTGAACACTGATATGGCTTCTCTCCAGTATGAGTTCTCATGTGTCTTACTAAGCCTGATTTTTGAAGAAAGTCTTTCAGACATTCTGAACACTGATATGGCTTCTCTCCAGTATGAATTCTCATGTGACTTACTAAGCTTGATTTTTGAGTAAAGACTTTCAGACATTCTGAGCACTGATTTGGATTATCTCCAGTATGAGTTCTTATGTGGCTTTCTAAATAATGTTTGCGGGAAAAGTCTTTCAGACATTCTGAACACTGATATGGCTTCTCTCCAGTATGAGTTCTCATGTGTCTTACTAACTTTGATTTTTGAAGAAAGTGCTTCAAACATTCTGAACACTGATATGGCTTCTCTCCAGTATGAGTTTTCATGTGAATTATCAATCCTGAATTTTGAGTAAAGTGTTTCAGACATTCTGAACACTGATATGGCTTCTCTCCAGCATGAGATCTTATGTGGTTTTCTAAACTATCTTTGCGGTAAAAGTCTTTCAGACATTCTGAACACTGATATGGCTTCTTTCCAGCATGAGTTCTCATGTGAATTATCAATCCTGAATTTTCAGAAAAGCATTTCACACATTCTGAACACTCATATGGTTTCTGTCCAGTATGAGTTCTCATGTGTCTTACTAAATGTGAATTTTTTAGAAAAGTGTTTTAGACATTCTGAACACTGATATGGCTTCTCTCCATATGAGTTCTCTTTGTTCTTACTAAATTTTGAATTTCTAGAAAAGTCTTTCAGACATTCTGAACACCGATATGGCTTCTCTTCAGTAGAGATCTCATGTTACTTCTTAAGCTTGATTTTTTGAGAAAGCCTTTCAGACATTGAACCCGATATAGATTCGCTTCAGTATGAGTTCTCAAGTGACTTTCTTAAGCTTGATTTTTTGAGAAAAGCCTTTCAGACATTCTGAACACTGATAGGGCTTCTCTCCAGTATGAGTTCTCATGTGATGACTAAATTAAATTTTCAGAAAACACTTTTAGACACACTGAACACTGAAGTGTTTTTTTGCCTGTGACACACCTGGTCTGAAAATCCACACTGAGATTGTTGTGAAGATTGTTTGAGTGAGTGTGAATGTTCATCTAATTGGTCTCCTACATGAACAACTGTACATTGTGTTGCCTCAACACATTGTTTTTCAGGTATTTTAGACATAGTGAACAATAAGTTCTCACATATTTAAACTGTTTAACCAGGGGATATTTGAGAATATTTTATTACAGAAAAAAACTAATATTCCTGAATTATTATATCATTGTAAATATAGCAAGTACTAAACATGTAGGGGTAAGTGTGTCTGAGGAATAGGAAGGATGACACTAGCAATATTTATAAATACATTAACCTATGACACTGTTGTTTGAACTCTAAGTGTTGTAGTACTAACACCTGCTACAGTGTTGTCAATGTATAAGCATTGTTGACAGTGTTGTCACCGTATAAACATTGTTGTTACAGTCACTGTACAAGCACTGTATTAGTGCTGACACTGTATTAACACTAACACTGTGATTAGTGTTGTCACTATACATACATTACAGTATTTACTAAACTTACGAAAGTTTTCTGACACTGATGTTGGTACTACAAGTACCACCTTCTTGTACCAGGATGACCTGCAGTATTGACACTACAAGTACCACTTCTTGTACTAGATGACCTGCAATATTGACACAAAACTACCACCTTCTTGTACCAGGATGAACCAGCAGTTTTGACCCTACAAAGTACCACCTTCTTGTACCAGGATGACCTGCAGTACTGACACTACAACTGCCACCTTCTTGTACGAGGATGACCTTCAGTACTGACACTACAAATGCCAGCCTCTGGCATCAAGACGACCTGCAAAATAAAATTGAAAATTTATGACCTTTTATTACAATCATTATAATTAATATCATTATTATTATTTTAAACACGCCAACCATCTCTAACAGAAGCAAAGTGACTCAATAAAGAAGAAACACTTTCCCAATCACTGTCTTGCAAAAGGAGGGCTGTTGTTACACTTCAAATGTCCATCCAAACTGTAAATATTCCCACTCATCCTTCAGAGTGCAGACACTGTACTTCACACCACCACTAATCCTTCCGAGTGCAGTCACTGTACAGTGGACCCTCAGGTAGCGATTCTAATCCATTCCAGAGAGCTTGTCCTTAACCGATTTCATTATTAGCCAAATTAATTTTCCCATCAAAAATAATGGAAATCCAATTAACCTGTAAATGGTCCAAACGTATACAGCAGGGCCCCGCTTTACGGCGTTCCGCTAATACGGACATTTCAAATTATGACCAAAACTCGCTATACGGCTCTCCCCACCTGTCTTTCTAATACGGTCACAGCGGCCCACCGAGTTTGTTTACATTCTCCCTGAGCACATCTCCTTATTATGTCTGGAAACTTTCCAAAATTTCAAGTGTTTTAAAGTTATTGTATATTTTATATGTATTGTACTTGATAAACTTGTGTACACCTGTACCTAAATAAACTTACACACTGTGCTGGCATGTAGGTACACATTAAAATCACTAAGAGTCTCTCTACTCTTGATGCAATAATAATAATAATAATAATAATTTAAAAGTAGTAATTTAAAAATAATCTCTTGGGCGCATTTAATGTCGCAATTCGTTAATATAGACATTTCCCTTAATCTATCTAGATATTTTTTTCAAAATTATATAAGAAAACACATATGTAACACACAAACAGATACATGCACCCACAGTATAAAAATTTATACAAATATATATGAGATGTTTACCAAACGGTTTGTAGAAGTGTCGGGAAGAATTACTTTTCTCTAGCCCATCACCTGTTACTAGGGATAACTGTAGAAAAATATCCTTTCGTATGCCTTCACTTTATAGCTATAATTCTGTACTAACTTGTACACAGTGTAAGAGTATTTGTTTCATGATTTAATTATTATAATAATAATAAAATATTATAAGGTAAAAGTTTCACAAAACCCTTTCAAATGTACATGAATGAACTAAAACTGGACACATATTAATACCGCTATTCGCCTGACCAAGTGAATCGTCCACAACCTGTTCAGTTTGTTTTGTTTGTTTTTCGCTGTCTGAGCTCGGTGTATCATTAAATGTTGTATATTACGTTAATATACACATTTTCAAATTTAAATTCATCCGTGATATTTTTTCAAAATTATATAATAAACACGATACATAACATAAATACATAAAATATGTGTAGAGAACCTAGGATAACCCAAAAAAGTCAGAGTGACTTTTACTTCCATTGCCTTCACTCAGAGCATCATTTCCTTCTCAAAATGATGTGACATGAGAATGGGAGTGTTCTTTCTTTAGTTATTCTACCATATCAATGTAGAGACAACCTGTACCAATGTAACTTGTACACCCAAACCCGACGGTACCTGTTTACAAAACTTACCTTCGCCTGGTTTTTTACATAACTCTGCGCCTGTCCCCCTCTCATGCAATCATTCTTTCTCTCTGGGATGGTAGCCCGGCTGACTACCATCACCACACTTGATATTTACAATAAATACCACTTTATCTCACCCTATAATTTTTTGGGAAGTAATGAGTGAACTGTAAAATACATTTTATCACTCTGGGATGCTTAAATATCATGATAGTATGTGTGGGTGGGTTGGCCTGGTATGGTAGCCTGGCTGACTACCATACATACCACACTTGATTTTTTACAATAAATACTACTCATCTCACCCTATATTTAAGGTAAGTAATGAGTGAACTGTATATACATTTTATCGCTCTGGGATGCTTAAATATCATAGAATAGTATGTGTGGGTGGGGTGGCCTGGTATGGTAGCCTGGCTGACTACCATACATACCACACTTGATTTCTTACAATAAACACTGCTTGTCTCACCCTAGATTAAGACTATAAATATTTTAAGGTAAGTAATGAGTGCACTATGTGTGTATTGTACTTTTTTATTGTTTTTTGATGCCTGGTTCTATTGCTAACATAATATATGTTAGTGTAAACTTGTTATCTAGTGTTTGTATGCATTTCTAAGTGGAAAAAAAGGGTGTTCCACTTTACGGCAGTTTCCGCTTTACGGCGGTAGCCTGGAACCTAACCCGCCATATAAGTGGGGCCCTCCTGTATATACGTTCACTACCCCAGTGCCCCGAATACAGTGGACCCTCACCTTATGATATTAATCCATTCCTGAGAGCTCAGCATAAGCCAAAATTATCGTAAGGCGAATTAATTTCCCCCATAAGAAATACATGTAATGGAAATAAAATTAATCTGTTCCTGACACTCCAAAGTATGAAAAAAAAAAATTACCAAATGGAATATTAATTTTAATGTACACAAACTGAAGAAGACATGCACAGTTAGTACTCTAATAACAGTATAATACATGACACTTACCTTTAATGAAGATCTGGTGATGATTGATGGGATGGGAGGAGGGGAGAGTGTCGAACTTATTGTTTAGAAGGGGAATCCCCTTCCATTAGGACTTGAGGTAGCAAGTCCTTTTCCGGAGTTACTTCCCTTCTTTTTTAATGCCACTAAGACCAGCTTGAGAGTCACTGGACCTCTGTCACACAACATATCTGTCCATACAGCTCTGTACCTCTCATTCCTTTATGATTTGTCTAAAGTGGTTCACAACATTGTCATTGTAATAGTCACCAGCACAGCTTGTAATAGCTGTGTCAGGGTGATTTTCAATCATAAAGATTTGCACTTCAACCCACTTTGCACACATTTCCTTAATCTTTGAAGTAGACAACTTCTTCAATTTCACTCTTCCTTCCTCCAAAGCAGTTTCCTCAGGTCTGGCCTCTTGCTGTTAAAGATGATCTAGGAGCTCATCAGTGGTTAGTTCTTCATTGTCCTCTTCCACTAACTCTTCCACATCCTCCACAGTAACCTCCAACCCCAACGACTTCCCCAATGCCTCAATTGATTCCACAACTGGCATACACTTCACAGGGTTAGCCCCAAACCCTTAAAATCCCTTTTGTCTACACATTCTGGCCACAGTTTCTTCTAAGCAGAGTTCAAGGTCCTCTTAGTCACTCCCTCCCAAGCTTTACCTATAAGGTTTACACAACTGAGGATATGAAAGTGATCTTTCCAAAACTCTTTTAGAGTCAATTGAGTGTCTGAGGTCACTTCAAAGCACTTTTGAAACATAGCTTTTGTGTACAGTTTTTTGAAGTTGGAAATGACCTGCTGGTCCATGGGCTGCAGGAGAGAAGTGGTACTAGGAGGCAAAAACTTGACCTTAATGAAGCTCATGTCCCCAGAAAGTCGTTCTTCCAAGAGGCACTTAAGGTCCAATTTCTTTTCAATTAGGTAATTTTTCACATTGGGGGCAAATGCATGGTGCAACCAGTCATAGAAAAAGTCCCTAGTGACACATGCCTTACTGTTTGCCCTCCACAGCACACACAAATTAGCCTTGAGGACACTGTGTTGCCTGAACGGTCTGGGAGTTTCTGAATGATACACCAATAAAGGCTTCACTTTGCAATCACCACTAGCAATAGCACACATCAGAAGAGTAAGCCTGTCTTTCATAGACTTATGTCCTGGGAGTGCCTTTTCCTCCTGAGTAATGTAGGTCTGGCTTGGCAATTTCTTCCAAAACAGGCCTGTTTTGTTGCAATTAAACACTTGTTCAGGTTTCAATTTTTCACTGTCTATGTACTCCTTAAATTCCTTCACATATTTTTCACCTGCTTTTTGGTCTGAACTGGCAGCCTCACCATGCCTTATCACACTATGTATGCCACTACAATTCTTAAATCTCTCAAATCAACCTTTGCTGGCCTTAAATTAACTCACATCACCACTAGTTGCAGGCATTTTTCTAATTAAATCGTCATGCAACTTCCTAGCTTTTTCACATATGATCGCTTGAGAGATGCTGTCTCCTGCTATCTGTTTTTCATTTATCCACACCAATAACAGTCTCTCAAAATCTTCAAGTACTTGCAATCTCTATTTCGAAAACAAACATGCACCTTTTGCAAGAACAGCTTCCTTGATTGTCGTTTTGTTGGCCATGATAGCTATGCAATGGTTGATTGGGGTTTGGTATACAACCTGGCCAGCTCCGAGACACACACTCCACTTTTGTACTTTGCAATTACAGTGGACCCTCGACCAACGAAGGCATAGTATAACTTTAAATCCGACTAGCGATACATTTTAATGCAAAAATTTTGCCTCGACTATGGCTAAAAATCTCGACCAACACAATTCGTTACGTTCGACATGCGTCCACTTGTGGCCTGAGTGCACCTCGCTTGTCCCATGGGTGCCAGTGTTTACAAGCCAGCCAGCCACCGCAGTCCCATCCAAACATACAATCGGAACATTTCATATTATCACAGCGTTTTTAGTGATTTCACCTGCAAAATAAGTCACCATGGGCCCCAAGAAAGCTTCTAGTGCCAACCCTACAGCAAAAAGGGTGAGAATTACTATGGATATGAAGAAAGAGATAATTGCTAAGTATGAAAGTGGAGTGCATGTCTCTGAGCTTGCCAGGTTGTACACAAAACCCAAATCAACCATCGCTAATATTGCGGCCAAGAAAACGGCAATCAAGGAAGCTGTTCTTGCCAAAGGTGCAGCTATGTTTTCGAAA